AGGTCTCTTTCATCAACAGCCCCACTGTCTGCCTTGGTAAACACATTTAGAAGAGATTTACCCAATCAAGCAGACTAATTAACTCTAATCTCAATGATATCAACATTATGAAAAATTACATGTCTATTAGGCATTAAAAAAAAGATCAGAATTATTGATTGCTACTCTGAAACAAGACAGGCAGTGTTGCTGTCTGATTAGGTAACAGCAACTGAATTTAATTAGTTTACCTCTGAACTCAAAACCACTGATTAATCCCATTTAATTATCCAAACCCGAGCAACAGAAAGACTGTTTTACTTGCATTAAAAATGCACTTTTTGATCTACAAACTTGAAATAAATGAATTTATAGAGTTTTTTGGCAAACCTTTGAAAAATGCATACCTGCCTCAGATTCTCATCATGCATTTATAGTTTGATAGCCACTCTAAATTCAAAGGTTGCAGATTAAAACAATACAGAAAACTGATCTGTTTCAAAAGGCTTAAGATAAAGTTCCATTTAATGTAGCCGTATTAAATATGTGAAACTGAAAATATACCACAAAATTAATTCAAGTGTCTGAATAAAATCTGAAACATGTACAGTTAAACAAGGCTGTAAGTAAAATAAATTAAACACCGAGTTTAAAATTCACTTTTCAGTCATTTAAATAATACATTTAACTTTTAATTAAAGCATATTTGAGCTAAAAGTGTAAACACAATGCTTAAGTTTACCAGAGACCATATAAGAGAATAAATAATTGTATTCAAATGTGAATTTATTTCATTGAACATGATTGATCTTTGCTAAACTAAAATAATTACTCCGTGCAGTGCTAACGTTGTGCTTTACTGTACATTAGGAAGATCCAACTATTACATAAAAAATTAATAAATAATAAACAGCATGTGCCACAACTCTGTACATTTACAAATATGTACATTTTTTGACGTGACGAATGTAAAACATGCCTGATCTTGATGGTTCGTAAGTGCGCAAAACGGAGGAAGCGCGTTCAGTTCAACCCCATGCTATAGTTTTTAGTTCATGGTTCTAATAACACTGTGTCCAGCATGTAAAGAGGCCATCGAAACATGTCCATCAGGTGGTCTACAAACTTCATTTCACGGGGGATAATCCAGATTGTGTCTCTGACTCTCTAATACGCACCCACGATGACCGCCTCCACCTCTTTGGAGGGTCTCCGATCCGTTACCAAAAAGTTGATCATGCCTTCCGACTTGATGAGGAGATTGCAGCCCAGGAAAAAGATCCCGAAGACTACGGTGAGGGAAAGCACGCACATCACCGCTATCTGAACTATCCTCATGATGAACAGACTCCTCTCATCCGGAGCGGCCGCCGCGAAGCCGTTATCCGTCACCACCGACGAGAAGTTACAGCACAGGAGGTTCTCCTCAGTCCGATTAGAGAAGATGCCACTGTCCGTTTGGTTAAATGTAGAATTCATGGTTAATGCTCTGTTTAAAACAGCAACAAAAATACTTTTAAAAAGTCCAAGGCTTCAGACAGTGTCGTTCTGTAAGTCTGAACACATGAGGGATTGCTTGGGAAGTGTGCGGAAAGTGATGCGCACCGATCCTACGTCGCTTCTTTGGTGCACTGGCGTCCCATGATGCTCTCATTGACTGTAACTACACTGAGCTCTTCTGCTCAACATCTCACACCTGCTCGGTTAAAAAGCACAGAAGCAGCAGAGGGGAGTGACTATTCTCCCACTCAGAAATACATGCCTTGTGGCGCCACATACTGCAAAACGTACAGCATTACAGTCGTCCGATGATTGAACTAAATTAAAGAAGAACCGTTTGGGAAGATTAATGAGCCATTTATGTATTTAAAAACCCGATTTGTCGGGTTATGATGGCACACACCGTGCACCATGGTGGCTAAGTGGCTAGATAAAAATATATGTGGTTAAATTAGAAAAAAAAAAGGAGAAAATTGACGGTCAAAACTTTTGTATCACTGCATTACGCTGCTTTGTGCTGACATCTAGCGCTAAACAAAAAACAAGACTTGCGCAATTTATTTGACGGGAAGATGGAAATTAAATTGGAATTGTTGACAGTTGCCTTTTTGTTTTTGGTGTGATTTAAAACACCCATGGGGAGAGCAGGGACGAAAGTAACATTTTTCATAAAAAAAAAATAAATAAAATAAAATAAAAAAACTTTTAAAAGATGGGTCAATCCTGGCATATTTCAGTCCCCCATATTTTTTAAAGTGGTTGTTGACTAAATAAAAAAAAAACGTAATAATTTTTAATTGATTTACTTTGTACATTATAATGAATCAAAATTTACATTAAAAGCATTTTTAGCATAAAAATATAATATTTCTGTCACAAACCAAACTATTTGTCATGCCCCTGAGGCACTTCTTTGAAATTGTATGTAGAAAATCTTTAATAAGATGCACTCAGTGTGTAATTTTGTTTGTATTACAACTATTTATTTGTGTTCTTTTCTTGTGATAAAAAAATAAGATTTTATTATAAAAAAAACAGGCTACAAAGTTATGCCCCTCACTATAAACTAAACCCTTGTCACGCAAGCAATTCTCCACCTATAGCAATTTAGCCTCCACTCTTATATGACATCACAGACAGAAAGTGACATTATTCAGCTCTCTTTAACAGCATGGTGCAAAAGAAGGCAAGATATATTTTAATTTATTTACTTTTTTGATGTTTATTATAGTTAGGAAGGGTACGGTCAAGCTTAACAATTCAACCCCGTAACTTAAAACTAAGATGAAATATGATTGTAAAAAAAAAAAAAAAAAAAAAAAATATATATATATATATATATATATATATATATATATATATATATATATATATATATATATATATATATATATATATATATACACACACACACACATATATATATATATACACATATATATATATATATACACACACAGTTGAAGTCAGAATTATTAGCCCCCTTGAATTATTAGACCGCTTGTTTATTTTTTCCCCAATTTCTGTTTAACGGAGAGAAGATTTTTACAGCACATTTATAAACATAATAGTTTTAATAACTCATTTTTAATAATGATATCATTTTATTTTTGCCATGATGACAGTAAATAATATTTTACCAGATATTTTTCAAGACACTTCTATACAGCTCAAAGTGACTATAAAAATTTCCTTGCTTTGTTGAACATCATTTGGAAAATATTTGAAAAAAGAAGAAAAAAATTCAAAGGGGGGTAATAATTCTGACTTCAGCTGTATATATATATATATATATATATATATATATATATATATATATATATATATATATATATATATATATATATATATATATATATATATATGTTATATGTCACCTCTGACGATGCAAAATGTTAACATTTTTAATTATTTTTGAATATGTTTTATTATTGTTGGCAATATGCATTAGCTTTTTTAAACATCTGGGTCCAAACACTGCAAACTCTAATGTGGAAGTGAAAAATAAGGTTTATCTATTATCAGTGGCACATAAAAACAGTGTTACTTTCTTCCCTACAGGAACTCTTCCCATTTAAACCTGATTTACTCATAAACCAAAAACTCAAACATTGCAAACCTAAGGATGAGTTATTGCATTAAATAACCTGTAGATTGATCATTAGTGTGGCACATGAAACGAGAAACACAACTTGTAATAAAGAAAAAAGAACCGCTATAGTAATTTTCTTCTTGCACTTAAAAACAGACATTTGGAGCTAACTGCAGGACACGGTCCCGAAATCACATGGTATTTGGCAGCTCCATTAAGTGCTGAGTGCTGAATGTGTTGTTAAAGCCTAAAAAACAAGTGTTGTCAGGGCTTTGAGAAAATGGCTTTGTTACTTTCATCCCACGTTACTTTCGTCCCCGCTCTTCCCTAATAAATTTCTTGAAGGAGAAAAAAAAGTATGCTTATTTTTTATTGCTATCAAAGAAGTTGCGTCAAAGAAAACAATAAAATACAAATCTTATGTTAAGTATTCTGCTATTGCAGTGTTTTCAATCAACACTTTACAAATGTGACCCTGGACCTGGAAAAAACCCATGAGGTGACAGTTGGGCAAGGGGGGCACACAAACATGTTTATGATATACAGTTAAAATCAGAATTATTAGCCCCCATTTGAATTTTTTTCTTTTTTAATTATTTCCCGAATTATGTTTAACAGAGCAAAGAAATTTTCACAGTATGTCTGATAATATTTTTTCCTTTAGAGAAAATCTTTTTTGTTTTATTTAGGCTAGAATAAAAGCAGTTATTAATTTTTTAAAGACCATTTTAAGGGCAAAATTATTATTATTATTATAGTGGCTATTATTAAACTATTATTATAGTGGCTTTAAGCTATATATTTTTTTCGACTGTCTACATATATATCGTTATACAATAACTTGCCTAATTACCTTATTCTGCCTAGTTGACCTAATTAACCTAGTTAAATGCCACTTTAAGCTGTGCAGAAGTGTCTTGAAAAATATCTAGCAAAATATTATTTACTGTCATCATAGTGAGGATAAAATTAAATTTAATTAAACAGAAAGTGGAGAAAAAATAGACAGGGGGGCTAATATTTCAGGGGGGCTAATAATTCTGACTTCAGCTGTGTACAGTGTTCTTCTTTTGCACAGCAGATGTCGCTGCTGTACCTTTAAGTTTCTGGTATAAAATGAATGAACGCATAAACAATAATACAGTTTTCTTGAACTTTGATTTTCAGAAAAAATGAAATATAATTATTGCAATCAACATTAGGATTCGAAACATTATATTCTGGGTCTGAATTAGCTGCAATTTGAATCACAGTAAACACTATATTTCTGTAACGTTTACACACGGGTTAAAATGCTGCAGCAGTCAAATACACCATTGGATGTTAATGAGTTAATGATCGTAATGATTACCGTTACAAATGGGCTGCATCTTAAATACGAGCTGTCATCAGAAATGGCCTACATGTACCAGATGTCCTCGGCGCACTTGCGCATTGGTGTCTTCAGATGGACACGCCTCTTGTCTTCACTCATCCCAAATCCAGCACCTAAACGGAGCAATCCCGACATCATATGGAAGCATTTCTGAGAGCAGGCACATGTTTATTCAGGCGAAGAGCTAACCCGAGACCTGGCACAGGATATCTATAGAGCTGTCGCGTCCATCGATCCCAGGAATGACATCTGGCCACTGATGCAGAGGGCAGAACGCATGCAGCATCATTTCTCTCAGTGAGCTAAGGGACAACTCAAGATTTGTTTGTTTTAGTAAATAAGGCCTGTCATTCTTGTACTTATCGTTACTTAGTGAGACTGTTTCGTTGCTCAATGTTTGAAGTCGTACGAAGAGATAACCTCAACACACGAAATCGTGTTTGAATTGTAAATAATAGACGCAACACGTTGTTGGCTGGTCATCAGGAGCTCAAGGTGTCATTCAGTAAGTACCGAATTTTGCTTTACGTGTAAATAGTAAGCTGTAACATTAAGTGCACACTTCAGCTTCTGCCTAAGATTCCAATCCCATTCAGGATGTACAAGATGAAAACAAAAATCACAGTGAAGCCAGTGTTTAATTTTCAGTTTTTGCTCGGAGTAACTATCATAAATACAATACAAAGAATGGTTATCAGGAGGAGGTAGTATAAATGAGATAAAATCAGGATATATACATGATGACTGTTGCTTGAAATTCAACATTGACTGAGGAAAAGTTGGTTTTATGTTCACACATTCAGAATTTCTCCCTAATAATTCAGAAAACTATTATTTGCTAAATCTAAATGGTGAAATCATTAGCTAAGGATTTAAACTGATTCATGCATCACACAAAAACTGAACAAATAAGCTTTCCATTGATTTACTTTGCCAGAAAATAGATAATTATTGGAATATTATGGTTAAAATAATCTAAATAATGTGAAAACTGCCTTTAAAGTTGTCTAAATAATGTGTTTATTTATGCACATCACTAATGAATTTCGATATAGTTTTAAAGTAGGAAATTTACCAAATATGTTCATGAAACATGTTTTTTAACCTGTATGCACTGTTGGGGATGTTTTAACCCACTCTGGGGTAATTTTGTGTCTTAATTTGGCCATAATTGTTTTCTGGGTTTCAGCTAGCAGAACGATATTTAGTGACAAGTCTTATTTATTTTAACTCAATGATACACTCTGGGCAAATTTAAGACCCATTTGTTATGATAGGGGTGAAAACATTCACTGAATTAAACTGCTGTAAAGATGCATCAGGTTAATATTTTTTTCAATCTTTTTTTGCATAAATCTGTTAATCAACCTCAGTCCTGATCAAAACTAATAAAACTGTTTTGGAAAAATACAGGATTTTTTCTCCTTTAATTGCCAAATTCATAAATGATGTCACTGATTTGGTGAAAAAAAACACACAAAATGACATATTTTCAATATAAAAAGCATTTGTGGACTGGATTTTTGTTTTTTTTTTGTTTTTTACCTTTTATCAAAGTCTTGGACATGTGAGACTGTGCATTCAGGATGTACAAGATGAAAACAAAAATCACAGTGAAGCCAGTGTTTAATTTTCAGTTTTTGCTCGGAGTAACTATCATAAATACAATACAAAGAATGGTTATCAGGAGGAGGTAGTATAAATGAGATAAAATCAGGATATATACATGATGACTGTCACTTGAAATTCAACATTGACTGAGGGAAAGTTGGTTTTATGTTCACACATTCAGAATTTCTCCCTAATAATTCAGAAAACTATTCTTTGCCATTCTAAATGGTGAAATCATTAGCTAAGGATTTAAACTGATTCATGCATCACACAAAAACTGAACAAATAAGCTTTCCATTGATTTACTTTGCCAGAAAAGAGATAATTATTGGAATATTATGGTTAAAATAATCTAAATAATGTGAAAACTGCCTTTAAAGTTGTCTAAATAATGTGTTTATTTATGCACATCACTAATGAATTTCGATATAGTTTTAAAGTAGGAAATTTACCAAAAATGTTCATGAAACATGTTTTTTTTAACCTGTATGCACTGTTGGGGGTGTTTTAATCCACTCTGAGGTAATTTTGTGTCTTAATTTGGCCATAATTGTTTTCTGGGTTTCAGCTAGCAGAACGATATTTAGTGACAAGTCTTATTTATTTTAACTCAATGATACACTCTGGGCAAATTTAAGACCCATTTGTTATGTTAGGGGTGAAAACATTCACTGAATTAAACTGCTGTAAAAATACATCAGATTAATATTTTTGTACATTTTTTTGCATAAATCTGTTAATCAACCTCAGTCCTGATCAAAACTAATAAAATTGTTTTGAAAAATACAGGATTTTAACTCCTTTAATTGCCAAATTCATAAATTATTTCACTGATTTGGTGAAAAAAAGCACACAAAATGACATATTTTTAATATAAAAAGCATTTGTGGACTGGATTTTTTTGTTTTTATGCTTTATCAAAGTCTTGGACATGTTAGACTGTGCATTCAGGATGCACAAGATAAGACTGAAAGTGTCAGACTTGTCAGTTTTTGCTTATAGTTGGTGGATGATCATAATGATCATAAATACAATACAAAAAATAATGGTTATCAGAAGATAGTATGAGATAAATTAGGAGACAGTGTTTACATGATGACTGTCATTTGAAGTTCAACATTGACTGAGGTAAAGTTGGTTTAATGCTGACACATTCAGACTTTCTCCTTAATAATTAAGACAACTATTCTTTGCCATTTCTAAATAGTGAAATCATTAGCATTAGCAGCTACTTCCTATCAAAGTACAACATTCTTCACAGTCTATAACCAATTGTGAATTGAAGTTGACATGCTCCCTATATTGTTTACAATGGTAGTTTGAATATATTGAGGTAAAGTTGGATTTATATTTTTACATTTGTTCATTTAACTGTCTATATATTGTTTAACAAGCTAATTTGAATATTCAGTCAGGATTAGCATGTAAGTATAACTGCAAAACAACATTAGCACTGTCTGATGACTGCAAACTATGTTGTACTTTGATAGTCATTTTTCTGCTAATATGATTTCACTATTTAGAGTTTGCAAAGAACACTTTTCTGAAATGATATTATTAAGGAGAATGTCTGAATATCCGAATATAAAAAAAACAGCTTTAGCTCTATTTTGAATATTTTGTCTGAAATCACATGCAAGTATGACTTGAAAACTACATTAGCACTATTTATTTGACTGTGAAGAATGTTGTGCTTTGATAAACATTGGCTGCTAATATGATGTTACTACATAGAATTTGCAAACAATAACTTTCTGATTTTATATTGCTAAGGAGAAAGAATGTGTGAACATGAAACCAACTTTACCTCAATATCTTGTGAAAGTTTAAGCAGGTGCATGTGCATGATCTGGCCTACATTTATATTTGGCTTCGCAAGATGGCATCCCTGCATGAAAATACCTTAAGGAAAGATTGCGTTTGCCTTTAATTTGATGTGAAAGCTGCTGACTCAGGATTTCCAGTACATGCTCTTGCCCCTAAAACTGCCTGAAGTTCATTGTGATTTCTGTCTGTATTTTGTGTTTCTGTGTTTTGTAAACTGAAGTGAAATCCTAAGGATCTGTATTAGATAAACTTTCTTTTCTGTAAACCTTTTGGCAATTGAAATACCCTGTAAACTCATTTGACTTTGGAAGCAAATGATCTCGGTGTGATTCATCATGTTTGCGAATTTATATTAATTGGTATTAATTTTAATTTTGTTAGTATACTTTTGGTTTGATATCACGTATTCAGGCGACGCGTTGACGCAGTAGGTACTGCATTCTCCTCACAGCAAAAAGATTGCTGGCTCGAGCCTCAGCTGGGTCAGTTGGCATTTTTGTGTGGAGTTTGAATGTCCTCCCCACCTTTCCTCCTTGATGCTCCGGTTTCTCCCGCATGCGGTACAGGTGAATTAGTTAGGCTAAATTGTCCATAGTGTATGTGTGTGAATGAGTGTGTATGGTTGTTTTCCAGTGATGGGTTGCAGCTGGAAGGGCATCCGCTGCGTAAAACATGCTGGATAAGTTGGCGGTTTATTCCGCTGTGGCGACTCCTGATGAATAAAGGGACTAATGCCAGCTAGCTCTGTGTGACTCTCATATAGGAGAATTGCTGACAACTTTGTCTCGGTCGGCAAACTACGTCTCGCAATCAGACAAACGCAAGAAGGGACATGGAAACATCGGGAGGTCACGTAATATGTCTGTTGTTTTTTAACTACATAATGAGAAAGACGCCTTTAGTGTGGTAGAGGCGAGGCAGTGGCGCAGTAGGTAGTGCTGTCGCCTCACAGCAAGAAGGTCGCTGGTTTAAACCTCGGCTCAGTTGGCGTTTCTGTGTGGAGTTTGCATGTTCTCCCTGCCTTCGCGTGGGTTTCCTCTGGGTGCTCCGGTTTCCCCCACAGTCCAAAGACATGCGGTACAGGTGAATTGGGTAGGCTAAATTGTCCGTAGTGTATAAATGTATGTGTGAATGTGTGTGTGGATGTTTCCCAGAGATGGGTTGCGGCTGGAAGGGCATCCGCTGCATAAAAATTTGCTGGATAAGTTGGCGGTTCATTCCGCTATGGCGACCCCAGATTAATAAAGGGACAAAGCCGACAAGAAAATGAATGAATAAATGAATGGTTTAAAAAATTATAACCGTCACCAGAAATCAGTTTCCTATCAAATATACAATTACAATTCCCTTTTTATGTAATTTTGTTTTACAGCAAAATGAATAAGAACTAAGTTAACAATTAAAGGATGTTTTGATTTGACACCAATAAAGGGGCAAACATCTTATGTTTGGTAACCTCGCACACTTAACTTCAGGAAATATTCATGAATGGTGATAGTGAAAATAAAAGTCGTATAGTTTTGTCTTCATTCGTGGACTTGCTTAACATGTGATGCTTCATATTTGTTTACGTTTGAGTTGTGCTTGGACATCAATTAAGGTTTTGTTTAAACTTTAATTATTTATAGTAGTAATACAGTAGCAAATGCATTTTTTTAAAGAGGCATTTGGACATATATATGTACATCCAAATGGCTCTATAAAAAAATGCATTAGGCTTAAAAAAATCTAAAATGGCTCTTTGCTGAATAAAGGTTCCCTGCCCCACATCCATGATCAATGACTTCACACATAGCATGTTGCTAACTCTGACACAGGGAATCCACAAAATCATGTAATCCAATTGTGGAATCCACATGAGCAGCCAAGCCAAATCTTTGATTCAACATAGCGCACTGCAGGTTACTCTTGAGTGGAAAATAAAATGAAAAGCGACACAGCAAAATGTATAAACCACATTGCAAGCATAAAAAAATAAAAATAAGCAAGTTGAAATAAATAAAGTGAGGGAGGACAAATGCGCTAGGATTTTTGTAGCCAGATGGTGTGGTTACAGCATCTAACACCAAACAAGCCAACCAGCCAGACCTTGACACTTGAGTAGTGGACCAGAAAGGCAAAATATTAAGGATTTTCAGCGTGTAGATCAGCGCATTTTGAATTATGAACAAAAAATGTGCACATGTGTTATATAGGCATGCGGTATAAGATTCTGACTGTATGATAACCTTGGATAAAAATATCACAGTATTGTGCTCACAACTCTAAAATATGTTCTTTTTAAAATGTCTGGGTAAAAAAACAACATTTTTTTCCCCTTTGAAAACAATATATTGTATTTTTTTGAAAGATTTTAAATATTTTGGAGCTGTAAACATGTCAGGCTAAATAATGAAAATGAATCATTGACTTCTGCTGTCTTCATTAGTTTTAAAAACACTGATTTTTTTACAATTTAAAACGGCATCTTTGGATATCTTTTCTGCTGAAGATACAGTTGTCCTAAAAAAAACAAACAAAAAAAAAGTAAATAAAAAATCTTACACATACAGTTGAAAACAGAAGTGTACATACACTGTATAAAAAGGCACGTAACCATTTTTTAAAAAGTCAGATGTTAATGTGACTAAACTTTCATTTTTAGGTAAGTTTGGATCACCAAATTTGTTTCTGTTCTGCTTAATAGCAGAATAATGAGAGAGACTTTTTTTGAGAAATTGTTATAACTTTTCTTGAAAGTCAAGTTTACATACAATAAGATTATTCCACCTCTGAAAAAGCTCAGATGATGGTGTCGAGGTTTTGGAAGTTTCTGATTGGCTAATTGACAACATTTGAGTTAATTGGGAGCACAACTGTAGAATAGTATTTAAGGAAAACCTCAAACACACTGCTTCCTTGTGTGACAACATGGGGAAATCAACAAGCCAGAATCAACAAATAAAAGTCAGATTACAATTAGCTAAATTACACTGGGAAAAAGACTAATGTCTGGAGACATGTCCTGTGGTCTGATGGAACTAAGATTGAACTGTTTGGCCATAATGACCAGGGATACATTTGGAGGGCAAAGGGAAAGCTTACAAGCCTAGGAACACCATCCCAACTGTGAAGTATGGGGGCGGCAGCATCATGTTGTGGGGCAGTTTTGCTGGAGGAGGGACAGGTCCACTTCACAGCATAGATGGCATCATGAAGATAGAACATTATGTAGAAATACTGAAGCAACATCTCAAGACATCAGCCAGGAAATTAAAACTGGCCACAAATGGGTCTAAGCATACTGCCAAATTAGTTAAAATGTGCTTTAAGGACAGCAGAGTGAATGTTTTGGAGTGGCCATCACAAAGCCCTGAACTTTATCCTATAGAATATTTGAGGGCAGAGTTGAAAAAGCTTGTGCAAGCAAGACAGCCAACAAATCTGACTCAGTTACACCAATTCTGTCTGGAGGAATGAGCCAAAATTTCTTCAAACTATTGTGAGAACCTTGTGGAAGGATACCTAAAACATTTGACCAAAGTTTTACAGTTTAAAAGCAAAGCTAAAAAAAATACCAAGGAAATGTTTGTTAACTTTTGACTGTCTAGAAATTCTCAAAAAAAATTCTCTCATTATTCTGCAAATTAGCAAATGTAAATCATTTACGTAATCCTAACGGACCTAAAATAGTAAACTTTTAGTATGATTTAACACCAGACATTTAAAAAAAAATGGTTATGTTCCTTTTTTAGAATGGATGTAAACTTCTGATTTCAACTGTACCTTAGGAACGGTATTACAGAAAATTTTGGAGGTTCAATAAACTTGACTTTTCCAAACCGCGGTATACCTTGAAAACGGTTATCGTCCCATGCCTAGTGCCATATAATCAAAAACATTTTGACATATTTTAGTTCATGAACTCTTTGGTGTTTTGCTGTGAATTATTTCTGAAGGCCTAATGAATAGTGTGCGTACTCCATGTTCTCCATGTTACAATTGTTTACCAAAGAAGTATCCACATCTTATATATGCATTTTTTGGTCCTCCAGTGGGATGACGTCTCAGCACATGTCCAGTCACACTGCCCCCTGCCCTGCCTCCTGTGACCCGCAAATTTGTCAATCCGTGGGGTCCTGACGTCAACAGGGGCTCATGAGACGCTTCGTGTACTGTAAGGTGGTCCTGACCACCTCTCTGGTGTGGGTGCTAGTGGATGTCTTCCTCTTGCTATACTTCAGTGAGTGCAACAAATGTGATAACCGGAAGGACCATTCACTCCTGCCTGCGCTCAGAGGTCAGTCAAATCATTTAAATGAAATTATTTTAGCCTAATACTGTCCAGGACATTGCTTTATGTAGTAATTTATTTTTTATGGTTGAGATACCTTTACATTTGCACACATTTGTACAACAGAAAGCCAGATTCAATATGCATTCACCAGTCACTTTATTAGGTACACCTTCTAGTACCGGGTTGGACCCCCTTTTGCCTTCAGAGCTGCCTTAATCCTTCGTGGCATAGATTCAACAAGGTACTGGAATATTCATCAGAGATTTTGGTGCATATTGACATGATAGCATCATGCAGTTGCTGCAGATTTGTCGGCTGCACATCCATGTGCCAATTTTCTGTTCCACCACATCCCAAAGGTGCTCTATTGGATTGAGATCTGGTGACTGTGGAGGCCATTTGTGTACAGTAAACTCTTTGTCATGTTCAAGAAACCCATCTGAGATAATTCGAGCTTTATGACATGACTTGTTTTCCTGCTGGAAGTAGCCATCAGAAGATGGGTGCACTGTGGTCACAAAGGGATGGACATGGTCAGCGACAATACTCAAGTAGGCTGTGGCGTTGACACGATTCTCCTCTGGCATCAACAAGGCATTTGCACCCACAGAACTGCTGCTCACTTGACAGTTTCTCTTTCTGACATTTCTCTGTAAACCCTAGAGATGGTTGTGGATGAAAATCCCAGTGGATCAGCTGTTTCTGAAATACTCAGATCATTTAAAGGGCACCTAGGTTACCCCATTTTTTCAGATTTAATATCTTTTGCGTCTCTAGAATGTGTATGTGAAGTGTCAGCTCAAAACACCCATCAGATTTTTCATTATACCTTTTACAAGATGCTTTTTTATACACATTTCCAGCAGGAAATGATTTTGTCATACTGCGTCTTTAAGCCGAGTTCTGCGAGCCTACTGTTTCTACTTGCCTTCCCGCATGCTTTAATCTTCTCCCTCGGCTGCGTCAGACAATAGAGAGACTTAAAGGAAGAAGGTCTCGCGTAGCGTTTGTGAGAAATACTACAGTAAGAACTAACCTTTACTAATCAGAATTTGTTGAGAAGTTGCATTGATGAGTCACACACAATATTGTTACAAAGTTCAGGCGCGCGCGCACACACACACACACACACACACACACAGAGATACACACGCACACCGCAGCTGAAACACACACAAACCTAAATTGTGGAATGCTTACCCCATAAACATCAGGAACGCCAGTTCCCTGGACTGTTTTATAAAGCTTCTTAAAGCTAATCTTTTTATTATTGCTTACAACTTATGAGGCTTTCTTTTAATATGTATATTTTTATCATTATTATCATTCTTATTTTTTTGTGTATTTCATGTTCTTCTGTGTTTTGATGCTCTTGTTAGCGCTTTGAGTCTGAGAAAAGCGCGATATAATTAAATTTATTATTAATATTATTATTGTTACTACTCGGTTTGAACTGCAGCAGATCTCCTTGACCATGTCTGCATGCCTAAATGCATTGAGTTGCTGCCATGTGATTGGCTGATTAGAAATTTGCATACACGAGCATATAGACAGGTGTGCCTAATAAAGTGGTTCATAAATGGTTGATCTTAAAGCTGCGGTCACACTGGGCTTTTCCTCCCATAGACTTCCATTCATACACACGCGAATGCGTCAGACCGGAAACGCAGGATCATGCGTCAAGTTTGCAGTTTGTAAGTTTGTAATCGCTTTACTTGAATGCGTGAGACCGACCGAGGATCAAAACATGACCTCTCTGGACAGAAATTTAAAACATGGAGCAATCGCTCACTTTTTAAATGTCTAATCATGCTGTTTAATCCCGCCCCTTTTCGTAGCTCCGCACGACAGAATTTCGCAGACACAAATTCTAGTGTGACCGCAGCTTTATTGTTCTTTGGAATCTGTTGTCATACATTTCATTTACATATATTTTTTATATGAATTTTTTTTTACCCTTTTCACATAGATGTCAGATGCTGTAGAACAGGGGTGCTCAACCCTGTTCCTGGAGATCTACCTTCCTGCAGATTTCAGTTGCTACTTATATCTAACACACCTGAACCAATTTATTAGGACCTGAACACCACATGATAATTACAGGCAGGTGTGTTTGATATGGGTAGCAACTGAAATCTGCAGGAAGGTAGATCTCCAGGAACAGGATTGAGCACCCCTGCTGTAAGACTTAAAATGTCTTAAATCTCAAAAACTTAAATGGAATCCTTAACAAGTCTTAAATATACTTAAATATAATATGTTGTAGGCCTTAAACAGTTTTTTTTTTTTTTAAACAGGCCTTAAGTTTCCTTGTTCATGTATAGCTACCCAATCAAGCCAACACCCATCCAAGAAATACTGTGAATAATACAACTTTTAACTTTTTTTTTTCAAGAGTGTACTTTTTGATAGTTTGATGGGGTAAATAAAAATCTTTTCCAACTAGGCCATTCAAAAAAACTCCTTGGCGTTTAGCCCTGTATGAGTCTTATGAGTCTTCATTCGTAATGGTCTTAAAAATGTCTAAGGGTGCTATCACACCTAGACTTTTGTTTTCGGGACCTGTCTCGTTTGTCCAGACATGCTCGTTCGCGCGGTTCGTTTGGCATATGTGAATCCAGCAATCGCGCTCTGATCCGCACCAAAACATAGCTAGCTTAATAGATAGCTTAAATGAGGTGCTCTCGGCTGGATTGAAACGAGCTCTGGAGCAGATCGATTGTAGTGAGAAAGCGATACGATCCGAGGCCGGCTATATCACAGTGTTTTATGGATATGTAATAGGCATACGGCTATATGAAGAGAGAATTATGAGTAGGGCGGGAGGTCATTCCAGACATCTCAAGTCTCCCAAAAGTTTCGGGAGTCTCCCGCAAATGCACAGACACTCCCGGATACCCGCAAACGAGTGATAATCTCCCAGTAATTGCGCGTCTCCATCCCCGTCCTCAAATACTTTGAGCACCCTTCTCACCCCTCCTCACGCATCCCTCCTCGCTCTTCAGACACGTCGCGTGCACCCTGTCAAACACCACCAAACCACCAACCTTCGACTGCTGAGCGGGGCTCTGCAAAATAAACTGTAAAAATCTGACCAATGTGAGGAGAGTTTACTCACATGTGACTTGTTTTAGCTCTTTAGGTCCGTTTAGAAACTTTGCCGTGTGAAAGCGAACCGCACCAAGAACAAAAAGCAACAATGTAACAATTTTAATCCCCGTTTCAGGACAAATAAATCGATTCACAGGTGTGAAAGCACCCTTAAAGTCTTAAATTTTACTTGCTGAACCCTCTGTAGAACACTTAGAATATAAGCAACTATATATAATTTTATTTATACTTTTCAGTGATTTTTGTTAATCAAAAATGTCTTATATTCTCTACATTTGTCATAGATAGATATTTTACACGGGAAAATGTATTTTATTTACACTAAAAAGCATTGATTTGGCAATTAAGCCACTTTTAGTTTCTGTTTCCTTTTCAATGTTAAAATCTCTAGAATTGTGCTCACCAGCTGCTCATTTCTTACTGTTTAATCCCGACACGATCAGATCCTTGTCCTCGCTTCAATGATCTGCCTGGTAAACAGGTTTAACTTGTACTTTAAGCTGCTTTCGGGTTTAGACAACCTGAAACAACAACTACATCCAATGCCTGGTTATTAATTTCCGTTTCTATAGCCTGCTTGTTTCCTGTAATGAAGTGGACAAGCAGAAAGCCCGCGTCTGTCTGAAATACAACCTGCATCCATTTATTCAGGATTTAATAATGGCAGGAAAGCTATTAGGGTATTAAGCAGTCAGATGAGGTCTAAGCAGCCACTGTGCTGAAAGAGCAGGGCTTAGAAGCACCGCCGTCTGTCGGCCATTTGCGCTAGATTGGTTTTTCATAAGGTCGGGCCAGTTTGGAGATCTGCTCTTATTGAGGCCGTCACCGGTGATTAGCTCAGCCCTGAGGGCAAGAGGGGGTTATCTGAAGGTTAAAGATTTTGCACAAAACAAGTTCAGTTTCTGGAATTTTTAACATTGAGGTGTAGATAGAATTATCTGCGTGAATTTTTGGATTCCTTTTTAAATATTTTTTGTATTTTTAATAGTAATTTTTAATAGACCATAGACATTTCACAGTGTTTTCTATGTCTTTTTGTCTTCTGGAAGGAAGTCTTACACTTGCAACGCTTCTTATAGTCAGCTAAATGTCTGTTTAGCAGCAGTATCAACATATATTAAGCAGACAGTCTACTAATACTCAATTGGACCATCAAAATAAATGCTGGTTGCTGGGATCCATTGATTTCTATATTTTATTCCTACTTGTTAATGAGAGATACAAGTCGTGCACAGTGTCCAGAGAGATTTTAAACCAGTCTTCTTGCAGAATAGTGGCCAGAGGCCTCATGTACGAAGACTTGCGTGGAAATCATACTAAAACATTGCGTACGCACAAAGCTGTAAATGTGCGTACGCATAAAAAAATTCAGATGTATGCGTACGTTGAATCTCCTGCATATTCTTTTGTACATCCGAATGAACGTGAAGCTGAGCGCAACATGCACGAGCACAAAACCCCTCCCTGCCTCCTCCCCCGTATGAATATGCTAATGACTCTACTTTGAGAAAAACCCAACGAAAAAGCAACGGCAAAAGCAAGCAAGAAGAGAAACTTTGAACAGAATGTGAATTGGAGGTGCTGCTTTCGGAGGTAGACCGGAGAAAAGCGGTGTTATTTGCAAGTTTGATCTCCGGAATTAACAACAAAAGAGAAAAATAGAGTGGGAGAGTTTAGCTGATGCGGCTAACACAATTGGGTCTGAACATCGCACTGAGTGAATTAAAAAAGTAATAGTGTGATTTATAGGAGTAAATTGTTACAGCACTCTTAACAGTCTCAGTGGCGCAGCTCGTTAAACGCATGTCAACATGTTTTGACACGTTCGAGCATGAATTCGGTTCGAATCCAGCGTCTGATGAACTCTTTCTTCTTTTTTCCCCCGCTACATA